TACCATTCAGATGCCTGTTGCTTTAAGCAACACTTCCATGATTCCCAGAACTTCTTCCTTTATTTCTTGACATTATTTCTACTTAGAGATCTAGAAAACAACCGCTGAGGTAATCTGTTCTCATTTACTTTTAAATCTGTGACAGGGTCATAGAATCCTATATAATAAAAGGCTAAAATGCAAATCGACCAATGGCAGAACGACTGGTCGCTATGACATGCACTGGCCACCAGGGGGCAGACACTCAACGCAGGAGCTGCCCTCTGGTGGTCAGCACCGCTCAGCCAGACCCTATCCCACCTCCGCAGCAGTCGGACATCCCCCGAGGCGTCCCAGACTGCGAGAGGGCACAGGCTGGGCTGAGGGACACCCCTTCGCCCATCCCCAGTGCACGAATGTCATGCACCGAGCCTCTAGTATTAACAATAAAATGTTAGAACTAAAAAAAAAAAAAAAAAATGTTAGAACTATCCACAACATTTTCATAGGACCAGGAAGGACTACCAGTTGTAATGTGATATAATTATAGAATACCTAGAATGGTCATATTTGGGGATGTTGCTATTTTTCTTCTACTAAATGTACCTCTTATAAATGGAATATCTTGCTTATTTTTCTGCCCTCCCCGATAGTTCACCAATTTCTCTAGTTGCAAACACTTTGCCCCCAGAAGTAAATTCTTTTTAGAAACCAAATTATTACAAATCAACTGGAATTTGAAGAGATCCCAAGCCTCTGGCATAAGGTTTGTCACTCTGCCTTCACTCTTTTTCAGCATTATTGAGATATAATTGACATTTTGCAAGTTGAAGGTGTACAACATGTCAATTTAATAAGTATATATTGCAAAATTATTAGCACCTGCCTTCACTTCTGATTCCAGTTAACTCAACTCCTTTTTACTATGTTCCCCATGTACAAGGTTCTAGCCACAATGTTTCCCCCCACTCCCTCTGTCTTGGCACACTGGCCAGGACACAGTGGACTAGACATTTTGTCAAAGTGTGATCAGAGAAATATCTGCATCAGAAACACGGAGATGTTTGCTAAACTTGCAGATTCTTGAAGCCTACCAAATTTAGTGGAGGAAGAGTTGTAAATATGCAGTATGTATTAACATACTCTCCAATAATTCTTATGGATAGTAAAGTATAGGACTACTGCAGTGGGCACTAATAAGTATAGGTTAGATCAGTGATTGGAAAACTGCGGCCCCCTGAGTGCGGCTCTTCCACAAAATACCACGTGCGGGCGCACACGTACAGTGCGATTGAAACTTCTGTTCCACACTCAAGGGGCCAAAGAGCCGCATGTGGCCGACCACTGGGTTAGATGAATGAATTAATTGAATGAATGAATTCTTTAGTTCCTTGCTGGGTATTCCAGTTCCAGTTATGAGCACAAATTTCAAACATGGGCTTTGCCACCAGTTTTTAGTACTCAGTGGTGCTGTCTGCCTATCTGGATCTCCCCAGAATGTCTGCACACAGACTTCTAATCACTATCTCCCTCTAAAAGTATATCCTGCCCTTGCTAAACTTCCATGGTTGTACAAATCTGGTTGTGTTGCCAGTAGACACTGTTCTATCTGCCTGGCTAATTTTCCTCTCAGCTCCTACACAACCAAGCACTTTGCCTACCCCAGTGCTCAGCGTGTCAGCATTTTGAAAAACCGTAACTTAACTCTGGTGCCATGTCACATATAGAAATTTTTTGATATTTGCAACCATAGTAAAACAAAGATTTATATTTTTGATATATTTAAATGTCATTTAACAAAGAAAAATCAACCAAAAAAAATGAGTTCGCGTGTCACCTCTGACACGCGTGTCATAGGTTCGCCATCACTGGCCTACCCAGTTAACATGTAAAGGCTCTGTCGGTTTGTGCCCCCTGATCTTGATAAAGCAGTGTCCCTAGTATAATAGACAGTGATTATGAAATTACTCAAAAACCAAACGTAATGTTTAGATGAATCCTGAACTTT